TCAAATTTGTCAAACGTTCTCGCGTAACATGAACTAGAGTTCGTCCTTGTCCCGTTTGTTTCCAATCACAAATGCCTAAGCCGCATTACTGCATGTTGCAGGAGCTGTTGAAACATCAGGATAAGTCGGTGAACAACTGTTGGTAGCAAAAAGTCTGTGCATTTGAGAAGTTTTTAGTGGTCACCCCAGTGGACGACTACATAAATTACAGGCATCTAGGTTTTGCACTACGCAGAGAAGTTACACACCAGTTGGTGTCTGAAATAAGGTCGATAAAAGGTTTCAGGATACCTCTTTAGGGTAACCGAGACTCTGCCTCCCTTGGCCATCGCCATTTTACGATTGAGTGAAGGCCCAAAATCCTAGCGTGACGGGTGAGATAACATAATTGTTTTCCACGAGTAATACTCCTACATGTTGTACAGAAATAGGGTTCGTTACAAGACCACATAATTCTATACATGACCACACTTCCGAGGGACTCTACTCGTCCTTACTATGCTCGACCTCGCACCCTCGTCTCCCTTGTGGTCGAGACACTACTCTTCTCCGTCCAAGAGATGAGAGCAGGGGAAGTATACGGGAACTGAAAGTGTTAAAGGTGAAAGCCGATTAACATCGTTGTTAAGGAGTCCGGTGGAAACAGAAAAAAGAAAAATTATATTCACCAGTATTTCGTGAACTAGAAAAAAAACCGAACAACCTTCCTAAAGAAGAGTGGACTGAACCCCGTCGTACTCTATTCACCTACGACGACGACAGGAAGAGGAGGAGGTGTTCCGCCAGTTACTCCACTGCGTCCAAAAAATTTTGAATCTGTATTTTTGAATATGGATCTTAAGTTGGCGTGACGTAGAAGTCGTGCGACCCTGCTGTACTCGGCTGTATTTCATTTATAGCATAGCGTTAGCATTTAGCTTCTGGCGATTAGATTTATGATTCGAAAATGATAAAAGTAGGGTAGACATGTGGATATTATCCGGCTGATCAAAACGTGCATTCATCAAATAGATTCATTTTCCACAGACCTTATTTCGATCTATTTTCCAAAATCCTATCGAGAAATCCAATTGCTTGTTTGTCGATGGAACCCATGTGCAGCTGACTTCGGGTGAATACGTCATCCCTGCACCACTCTGTGTAGATCACATGTAATGGAAAACCGAGGTGATGTGGTTTAAAAGCTCCCGCTCCTTCCCGCTCCTCACACGGTAAACCCCCCTTTGTGTTAGCGTCTTTCCTCACAGGATATCCACTACTGGTCCAGAGCCTAATCCTTTTCAGCCAGAGTGCATGGCCTTACTTTAGCCCAATTTGATCACACTGAATTCCTCAAAGAGTAGAACATGTTGAAGCTGCAGAGTCCACAGCAGTGGTTTCTAGAGAACGGCAGGCTTCACCATTTCTTCCCTTTAACACCTGCTGTTCACTGCTCTCTGTGTTGTCAGTTTATACCACACCCTTCTTATCAAAGGTTCCATTTTAAAATGTATGACCATACCTGTCCTTTTATATGATTGATTGGTTCAGTAGATAGAGACCTTTCTGAGCAGATTTTCTGTTTACGTGTCAAAAAGATGGCTCTTTTTTCCAAAGCAATACGGAATTGGTTCAAAGCAAAAAGACATACGTGAAAAATACATTGAAATCTTTGTGCACATCCTCTCTCAAGTTCTTTCCAAAAAGCAGCTTAGCCCTATTTGTATTTTTGGCTTTGAACTGTCGATACCTTCTTTTAGAGCATCACAGGTGATGTAGGGAACAGTTTGTGCTTCATTAGAGCAGAAATATACTCAGCAGTGCACAGGTCTTTCCTTTTTCAGCCCTGCAAATAGATCTTGTTCTCAAATATGATTCACTTTAATTACTTCAGTAAAATGTGTACCTTGGTGGCTGATCAGTTCTCTTTAATGCCTGAGAGGAATTTCTAATTGCCCAAACTTAATTGCATCATCTTTAACTAAAACACAAGTTCTGACATGATTAAACATCCATTTGATTTAGCATAAGGACAATAGTTTGTGTAATGGTTCATATAATTCCCCCTGTCACTTTGGCAGTGGTTTTATTAGCCGCCTGTCCTTCCTGCTGCCGAATGGGACTACTTCACCCCCCTCCCAAAGGTCAGCCACCAATCAAGCGGAGGAAGAGCTGCTCCTCAATCAGCTCATTAAATGATTGGCTCTCCCTGGAGTCCTCTCCTCTCTCATTTGACTGCACTGTTGTGTGCACACATGGAGAAGCAGGCTGCTGGAGTAAGAGAATGAGCGTAGTGCACGTACACACACACACACACACACACACACACACACACACACACACACACACACACACACACACACACACACACACACACACACACACAGTCTGTGTTCCTGCACACTGTTAGGGCTAATATAGCTATTATGCGTGATTATCAGTGGCTGTGCAGCTCTAATTTGAATTCAGAGGTGGAGGTCTCAGTGTACCTTATTAGTGGATGCTCCGAAGTTAAGCCGGGGGTTCTGAACTCTGTCTTTATTTAGATGAACCTTGTAACCTTCTATTATACATTTACCTCAACAGAATAGAAATTTGAATTTCTAAACCCCTGAAAACCACTGGGGTGTCCACTGCCTGTGAGTTATTGCAGAAGTGCACCTACATTCCCTAACAGTGCCCTGAAAGTGTACTATTTTCTCAGAATACAGTCATTTTCCTTTTTGAAGATCGGTTAGTTTGAAAGATGTTTGTCTCATTCCCCTTCATCAACATATTATAACAAGGCAGCTCGGTCAGATGACACCGACATGATCAACCTGCAGAATTAAGAGCATATTCAAATTCTCATACCCAGGCATTTTAACACTACTTAGTTTTCAGCCATTGTCAGATTTACATGTTTTCATCTCTGTTTCTCAGGGAGAGTGTGATTGACAAGCGCATTGAGAGTGCCGTCTGTCAGATGCAGTCTGTGATCGAGCTGGGCCGAGTGATCCGGGACAGGAGGACCCTTCCCGTTAAGGTAAATCATTAACCTTACTCAAACCCTTCATACAATCCAGTGTAAAAGGTGGAGTCAATGAAAACTCTTGTGTTTTTGTTTAACACAAAAGAGTGTACATTTCATATCTATGAAATAACCAACACATTACTTTCTTAGTGGATCCCTGTAAAAAGTTATTGTTATATATTTATGTAAAACAGATTAAAAAAAGCTTTGAATATATTCCTTTGAGTCGTTTCTGGCTTGCAACTTTCAATGTTAATAGCCATTGTTAGCTTAAAAACTGCAGTCTAAATCTTATATAGATTAAAGTCTATCTGGATGTGTCGGTTTTTATTACAACGACCCTATTTGTGTGTCTTGGTGCTGCAGTTATTGACCCGCAGTGACACTGGTGTGTATTTCAGTACCCATTAAAGGAGGTGGTGGTTATCCACCAGGACCCAGAGGCTTTGAAAGACATCCAGTCCCTGCAGAAATACATCCTGGAAGTAAGTAAACCAAGGACACTTTTTGTCATGTATATTCTGTGATCATTTATCTGGTCTTGAGTCGCCTTGGTATCACAGTGTAATTTCACCAGTGTTCTGCTTCACTGCGAGAAGTGCATTTTCTTCTCATCTTCCCTTTAAGTGTTTTTATTTTCATCTGTTGACTGTGCTTTGATCTAGTTAAAAAGAAACCTCTCCTAGAACCTTGTTGACATTAAAAAGCCAGTGTACTTGACAGAGGGGATGTACAAAAGAGAGAGCATATCTTCACACAGCGTTTGTATCTTCAGCTGTAATTGAAATGTCTTTGCTTGGTTTAATTTAAAAGGGGGTGGTGCAGATGCCTCGGAAAATGTTCTCACATTTGATCTACTTCAATTGCCACACATTCAAACTCTTGATCAAATATTAAATGCAGACACAAGCAGCACATGGGAACTCTATATTACTGTTAATGTGTCAGTCATTTGAGGCATTTAAGTGCACGCCATTTTTCTAGTTCTCTTTTCACAAACAGAGGCATACAGTGTTTCTTTTTTCTATATTAAAATAGTTTTTATAAAAACAAAAAATAGGTTTCAACGATGTCAAATGCACTTTGTGTAACATTTAACACTTAATCAGTGTGTAATCATGCACCAGAAAGTGAAAATGATTTACAAAAGAGTGACGGGTGCAGTCCGAAAGACTTGAAAAAGGGCTTCTCAGACAGACTAATTGTTATAGCCTTTCAGTGCAGGAAGCCATTAAACTGACAATATCCCTTTGTCTTTGGCTTTGATTTTCCACCAACAAAGCTAAAGAAGTCAATGCTCTTCCACAGATAACCCCACTACTCTCTTAAGTAAGGATATGCAAACCTTTTTGATGCTTTGCCTGGAAATGTAGCTGCCTTTGTTCTCTCTGAAGCCAAGTGAAGTCTAAATCGGTCCCAAGCTGAGGAATTACTAATGAATTTTAGATGGAAAATTGATTATTTCTCTTGTTCCCATATGTTGCTGACCAGGAACGTTGACAGAACATACAGAGATTAAGGATTGGGTGCAAAAATATCTTCTGGTGCAACCTTCTGTTGGATCCTGCAAGATTAATCGTAGTCGAGCCACTTCTTATTTCTCACTCTGTTTCATTTCTGGTGAGGAAAACATTTAACCTTGCCGGCTTCTAGCTACTCTCCAGTGAACAAGGTTTATTTGACCAGAATAGAGAGCAGTTTAAGGTCCTGCTGCCCAGGGAAGAACCTTCAAACTCTCTTACTGTTGATGTCGTTTAAGTTGAGCTGACCATTTCAAGTAGGTGAAGACTGGATTCAAGCTTTCACGGTGGCTTTTAGTTAGATCATGTTATTATTATTCTATTATTATTATTACCGGCAGTGGCTCTGTTGTCCGGCAGTGGGAGCCGTAGGGTCGCCGGTTCAAGTCCCCGAACAGACTTAAAACATGGAGTGTGGACTGCTACTTGGAGAGATCCCAGTTCACCCCCTGGGCCCTGCCGTGGTGCCCTTGAGCAAGGCACCGGACCACCTCCCATTGCTCCCCGGGCGCTGTACAATAGCTGCCAGCTGCTCTTACTACTAGGATGGGTTAAATGCAGAGAACACATTTCACTGTGGGTGTTTCTCAATGTCAAGGAAGGATGCTCCAGAGCCTCTATTTCAAGGATGCTACATCATCGACTCCCGCCGAAGGACTGTTCCAATGTCCAGGCTCCTTGGAATTCTACCGAGCCCCGGCGTCCTTCGTAGCGAGACATTTCGAGGCTGCACATTTGTATCCTCCGCGGTCTTAAAATCCCCACAATGCTTTGCGCACGGATCAATTTCCAAAATCTGTGGCGGAAAATATAAGGCGGGGCCTCTCACATGACGCACACCTGCACACTTGCTCGCCTATTCCATTCTTCGTTCTCCGAATGCCAGGAAGGATTCTTGCCTAGCTTCTGAAGGACCTGACTCGGAAGACTTGTCCTACCAAGGAAGCGTCCTCGATATTGAGAAACACCCTCTGTGTGCTCTGCATGTGTGACCATTAAAGAGGGTTTCATCCCTCCAATTCTATCTATATCTTCTATCTATTAAGCTAGGTAACATTCTTTATAAATTATTACCGCTTATTTTGCTTCCATATGCACCAGGTGGGCATCTACTGTTGTTCTCTGCTGGCTCTCTGACTGGTTGATTTCACGGCTGACTTGCTCTCTGAGTGAATTCGACTTTTGATTGTCCCTTCACAGCACATGTCTGAAGCAATTACAGTTTTTAATTTGATCCTACAGGACGTAACGGAGCACTAAGGCTAGCTCAACTTGTAAAGAGTAGTGGATACCATTAGCATTTATTTCATTGGTTTGAACTCTTTAATGGCCAGTGCTGAAGTCTTAAGTAAGATACAAAAAGAAGATACATCAACTTGGCATTTCAAACCAAGCAGCAGCAAATCTTTAATGCTGCCGTTTACATTGTTATTCTCTATTTTCTATAGGCAAAACATGAATTTGACAAATTCTCTCACATTTGAAGGGAAACAAGTAGAGTAGACACAAAATGGGATTAGCAGTTAGTGGTCAATGACCGTTTACATTTTAGCTTTGGTCAACTCTTCTTTACGGACAAGCGTTTTAATGACTCCACTGTCAGCTGAGCACAAGATGTTCATTGGGAATATCAAATGAATGTCTGTTTTATATGACAGCAGCCTGTATATAATGTAATATACAAACATCTCTACTATGCAAACAAAGACATATATGCCTCCAAGATATAAATGGTTCTGTTTGTTCACCTTTGCATTGATTCACTCCTCTTTTCACTAACCAAGCTCAGCTCTAACCAGAGGTTGCAAGAACGGTTTCGAGCCCACTCTGCCCTGAAGTGTATTATTGAGTCCTCTTCAGGGGCTTAGCTGTGCTCTCTGTCAGCGAGTCAACTAAGCTAAAACTCAGTGGCACGCTTCAGCTTGGTTGACTGAGAGAAGCTGTGCACGGCCGGCCAGCGTGAGCAACAGTATTTTGGATAACTTTAGTATCTCTAAAGCGTCCCACCGGCTCACAGACTTCTATCTCCATTTAGATTGAAAAATGAATCGTACTGGAGTGAAGTATTGACTGAATAGAAGGAACAGCTTACAGACTTACTGTTTGATTTCGTAGAGTGAATGACTCTGTAATCTATTATCGATTGGGTCTTTACAGTACATGCCCAGGGTATTTAAAGTTTTGATTTCTTATGTTTAATCTTATTTTTTCTGTTTAGTTTGAATTTAGTTTTCCATTAAAGGGGACCTATCATGCAAAATGCACCTTTGTACATCTTTTATACATGAATATGTGTCCCCGGTGTTCCAGGGAACTCACCAAGTGTCAGAAAATACAACCCTCTCTCTTTTCCTCCATACCCAAATCTCTAAAAACAGGGCTGCAACGGATTTGATACATGTGGATTCTGATTTGCACCTCTATGATGTCACAGAGGTGCACTCCTGTATGGTCAACTCTCCACCTATCAGGGGAATGAGAGGTTGCCGTGGCATGGCAACAGCATAGCAACAGCATAGCAACAGCATGGCAACAGCATAGTAACATGACGCTTGTGCCTCGCCCCCTCCTTTGCAGGGGGGGGNTGAGCCTCGAATAGTAGACTGAAAGTGAAATGGTGAGTTGTTATGCCGACGTAGTTTAATGCAGGCTCTTGAAAGTAGTAGTTGGAGATGAGTTAATTCTTAAAATAGATTTATGAAGAACTATAAGTATAAAGTGTTTACAACCTGAAATATTCATCTGTAAACAAAGCCTTAAACATTAATAAACCCCAAAACCCCCCGCCACCACCCCATCCCACCCCCGCCCCCCCCCCCACGCCGCCGAGCGCGCCGCCCGCCCCCCGCCCCGCCGCGCGCCCACGCGCGCAACCGCCAAAACACAAACCACCACACCCCCACCACACCACCACCACCCCCCACCACCACGCCCACACCGCCCAGGCCCCCGCCAGAATACCTCCCGCAGTCATGCCTCTATGTTTTTTATTCAATAACATGCTTGAAGTCAATATTATTTGCAGAAAATGATTTACCTTTAAATATGATGCTGTGCTTTAGCATGCTTAAAATCACCTATTACACTTTACTGCTAACATATATTTGTTTTTATTTAAATTAAGTAAACCTTACTTGAATTGAAATAAAGAAAGTTATTGTAATGAAATCAATATAATAAAGGTTATTAACCAACAAAAATACAAAGCAAAGACAATGTACATTGTGTTAAAATCTTCACTTGTGTAGCAGTCTCATTATGCTTTACATACCAAAAAATAGAAAATGTTTCTGAATATTGTGAGAATCTTATTGAGATGCGGGCCACATTCGCATAAAGGTTGCACTCAAAGGGCCGGTTGTAACTATATAAATATACATATATATAATATATATATAAAATAATGTATTATATTATTGCCTCTGAATTTGATTATTATCGGATAGGATAATAACTTAGTAATTAACTACGTCCGAAAGCAGAAGTCCAGGCAAATAATTGCAAGTCTCTTCAGTGCGCATGTCACAAAACGAGATGCATTGTGGGACATGTAGTTTATGGGCAACCTGCTTCTGTAAAGTGGCATGTAACCGTATAATAAACGTATTATATTCTTTGCAAGCTCTTGCGGGCCACATAAAATGAAGTCGCGGGCCGGATTTGGCCCCCGGGCCTTGAGTTTGGGACCCCTGCCGTAGAGTGTAAAGAAGTTGTGAGCTTTTTTCAAATAATTAAATATAATTTTAGCTGAAACCACAGAAAGGAGAAAATGCTTTTAAATTCTCCGTAGGCTACTCTCAGCGCTAGGATAAATACTTCTCTGCAAAGACTTCCGAGTTCCGAGTGCAGTGTTGACAGATACTGTGGGAAATGTTCCAGAGGAAATGCAGATTTTGCATTATTCAAGAAAAAGGAAGTAAGCACATTATATCTGCTCAAACAGGCACTGCATCGTAATCTTTTAGTATATTAAACTTCCTCTTCTTGAGTTTTAATGGTACATCTTCATCCAAAGCCTCTACAGTTTCTCAGTGATTTAATTTGCAGCTTTTGCATTGATTGTTTCATTTGCACACAAAAACACAACAGATACAGCATATGAAATATCGGTACCACTTTACAATAAGACTATCCTTATAAAGGATTCATAAAGGGTTTATAATTAG